GATGGCCAGCACGAACGGGGCGCGGATAGTCAGGCTGCGGTGCAATCAGACGATAGAAGAGGACGCCCAGGCTGTACCAGTCGGCGGCGTGCCAGACCAGCCGACGTCCTCGGCTTTTCGATCGGGCTGATGTGATTTCTGGAGGAAGGTGAGGGCTGGATGAGACAATGGTACCGGAACAAGCGGCTCCACGACCCGGAATGCAGGCTAAACCGAGGTCGGCCAGCAGTATGTGCCCGTCCGCCTGTAGGAGTACATTGTCTGGTTTGATGTCTTGATGCACCAAACCGAGATCGTGTAGCCAGATTAACGCTTCAGCCAGCTCAGCCAGGTAGAATGCAGCTTGCCTGGGCAGCATGGTCAGGCCGAAGCGGCCACGAAGTTGCAAAAATGCCAGCTGATGTAGGTCTCCCCCGGCCGCCAGGTCGGTCAATAGGAGGTAGTCACATGACGAGGATGTGAACAACCCTCTGGCCTTAGCTACGATAGCGTGAGCGTAGAGCTGAACCACAAACGGATGGAGACGACGGTTGCCAGCGTCGGAAGTGCGGCGACGAGACTCGCCAAGAGGATTGTTGGCGTTCGACAGAGACGACCGAGATGGGCGAGAGCAAAGCGAGGCAGGTGAAGAGGAGGACCGAAATGAAGTGAAACTCATGCAAGAGGGCAAGTGGGAAGATGAAATGGAGGGCAGGGCAGACATTCTCTGGAGATGAAGATGCGCTTCGAGCTCAAGTGAGAAAGGGAGTCGATTTGTGAGTCGCTTCACTGCCAATCGGCATGAAGTGGAGCCAGCAGCAGAGGCCGTCGAAACTGCATACACTTCACCATACTTTCCTGAACCAAGAAGGCAGTCAACGCGCAGTCCCGCGGCCCATGGTGTGCTGGGGAAGGAAAAGCTGTATGGCACCGACGAGGAGGAGTGATTCAACGTGGCAATCGGAGCAGGACAAACAAAAGTGGTGTAATTGAAGTGCATCGGCCAACCGCGCACAATGTCCGATGCTCCAGGGACATTGGCCATCAAGGTTGTAGGCAGCAAGCCGTTTTTGCCCGCTGAAATGGCAGCATTGCGTCTCTTTTCAGAGGCAGTGGAGGAGAATATCCGCCGATAGGCAGGCGGCGGAGGGCCAGCCTTTATGGACCAACTCTGTTGGGCACATCGTTCGTATGAACAGGCCGAGGAAGAAGGAGTGGCATTCAACAAAAGACCAGCCAGACGGTCTGTCAGGCCTTTGAGTGGCGTCCGGGACTTCGAGACGGCCTCCGAGGAAGCTAATAGCTTCAGTGTCTTCAAGTTGAAGTCAGACCTTCCAAGAAGTCCTTTTTTTTCAGGTTTAAGAATATTGAGGGGAGGATTACATTTCGGCAAGTAAAGAATAGTTGGTTCAGGGATTCTGTCTTTAAAATTGCCTATCGTATGCATTAAATGGTTAGGATGTAAGCCAAGAGGAAAGAGACAGTGAAGCGAAAACACGCGAACTTGAGGAGGCAAATAAGCAAAAGCTGGTTAATTAAGCCACATGAGTTGAGTTGAGTTGAGTGAGATTCAAAACAATGACTAATGTTAGATCAAATTTAATGAACGGAGATGAAGAGAATGAAATAGAGGACGATACCAAAAGTATGAGTCAAGCCAAAATAGAGCAGACCAACGTTGATTGAGACGTCAATTTCCATGTCATTGCGGCTCTTGTTAGGATGAAAAAGAATAAATTAAAAGTGAGTATAACTCAAGGACGTGCAGAAAAACAAGTGGTGAGACAAGTAACCAATAAGCAAGTGTGCAAGATTTCGAAACAATGTAATGGACTTCAATAAGAGTTAAAGAAAGGTCCATTATTGCTACCCAATTATATGAAGAATCTGTGTATCACTAAGAGCTGACGCTTTGTTTCAAAATCAAGGGGAAGAAAGTCAACGGAAAAGAGGTGCAAACAAATGAAAGTGAGCTATTTCAAAGCGGAGTCGACAGGCAGGCGGAATACAAACAGTTCGAGAAATCAAGTTAAGCAAAATGATGAAACAGGAGCGAAAAGCAGACATATGTAGGCGAAATGACTCAATGACAGGTTTGATCTTATCGAGTAAGAGTAGATCAGGTCAAAAGTTGGCCAAAGGAAAGAATATTGTGTGGAGAAATATGAAGAATATAAGCATAGATGATGCAAACAAAAGGAAAGATTACATGAGGGGTAAAAGAATGTCTATAAAAATGCCAGGAAAATCACTATCGGTTCGGTGCTAGCCACGATAATATGTAACCATAAAAGGATGCCTGAGGTGAAATCTCATGTCATCTACCTTGCTAGCCCTAAATGAACATCCTAGAAGGGTCTTAGCTCTATAAAAACCCTTGGCGAGATGACATAGGTCTAACAGCGAATTGTAATTGGCTTTACTTCACCATCAAAATAAGGATTTAAACATGCTGGCAAGATGAAAAGTACTTGTTGAATAGATCCTGACTGATAAATTGACTGTTTCTATTCCTTGCATATACAAAGGTATTGCGTCAGGTATTCTTCGACTTGGGAAAACTCACCTTGTGAGCGGGAAGACTTTCTGAATTTTGTCAGGAAATATGACCTTTCTCAACGTATCTGTCTATCCACTAGATACCTCTAAATGGCAAAGCCAAGCAACGTTCAAAGTATCACCTTTCAGATAAATCTGACCTTACTATGAAATTGCATCATTTATGTTCCTAAAACCACTACGAGGTAAGTGGCTTACTTTTATTAATGATGCTCTAGGTCTCAAAATCAAATAAAATCAGCAGCAATTTTTTCAGGATGAGGAATTTGAATAATTTCTTATGTGCATCTTCAGTCAGGATTGATGGGCAAGCAGTAATCAAAGACATCCTACAACCCAATAATGGGCAAAACTAATTAAAGCGTAGATATGGCCTTCTGCTTGGTCGAAGCGTCAGGGAGACCTTGTGGAACGTACCCAGTCCCGTGTCCTCTGTAAGAACATTCGTAAGTTACAGCATTAGAATGTACCCAATCAATGGTCCAACTCTGTAAATCACGAATACTTTTTACAGGGGACACGGGACTAGGTACGTTCCACAAAGTCTCCCTGACGCTCCGACCAAGTTGCGAAAACAAGGACGAACCAGCACTAAAACTAATTAAACTTCGGTCTTAGGGTCATATACAAACACTCCGAGAACAAGAGTTGGCATAGCTCTATATCCAGACTGGTAAATTTATAATCCATCGTGAGAAACAGACTAAAAGTAACATATTAAAACATGTTTTCCATCCGAGTGGACAAATTCCATGAAGAAACCGCATCCACAACCATGTCCGCAGTCTTGTGTCCTTTACAGAAGACCCAATTTCTAGCTGAGCATGTCTCAAAATAAGAATGTTGGTCAATTGGTTGTGTAGACGCAAAGCAGGAGGGGCATCTTGACCTGTGGATGGAGTGGACAGAATTTGATAGTTACACCGTCTGAAAATGTAGTCGCTGTAACATTGAAAATATACAAACGATCCGGTAGCTGAGACTAAGCTGGCTTGACGACATGTGGAGAATGGCTCAACCTAGCATTAGCCAACTATGCAAAAATAAACTAAGGGCAAGCGATTATGGGATACAAGACGAATAGTCATAATTGAGTAGGGTTTCGAGACTACCAGTAAATCAGTGTAATGAGATGTATTCACCCTATTT